TCATGAAGCATAAATGAGATGAAAAGTTATTCCTGTACGAATTTTCTCCCTCGGGAGAAACCGTATATCACGGATTTCGAATTGCCCCAAATGATATTTGACTGGCGAAAGCTTCAATAGAAATTTTACATTTTTATATCTCGTTACACGCAATTTGAAAACATCTATGGATCTTTTTCTTAAAAATGAAAGTCCATAGCAATGTTTTTGTACAAACATATTTTTACAAAAATTGTGCTGATATTAACATAAAGTTTTATTTGATTCATACCACAATTAAAAAAATAGTTATCCACCTATGACTTCACTTAAACACATTTGTTCGGTAATTTTTCACAATGAAAAATACACTTTTCGGTAATTAATACTGACAATGAGCGTAACTGATGGTCACCTAAAATTCAACAACCAATTTTTCTGTGTACTAAAAAAATGGGACAAAGAAGTGGAGTACACTTTTTTTGTAATATGTAACTCGGAAATAATTCCAGAGGTTGTCAATAAGTTTTAACAATTTCTTTGATATGTCAGTAAATTTTAGTAGCAATGTAAGTAATTATACGGCAACTTATTAAACTTAAAAAATATAATATATAAAACATTAATATTGACACATAAAAACTAAAAAAATATATAAAATGTACACTGACGCATAAGTTACTGAACAAAATACGTATATTTTATATATTTGTTCTAACTATTAGGTTCCTAAATTTGGAAAAAAAGTACTAACATAATAATTGTCACATGAAATAAAAATATGTAAGTCCATTTTAAATGTTCTAAATTGTTCATGTTTATGAAGAGTATACAGACCGAGATTGAGAAATTCACGACCATTAGGCTACGTATGTATTGAAATCCTTGATGGATTTTAGATGGATTTTGGAATCCTGCAATAATTTAAATGTAAATATATGCTAATCTTTGCCCATGAAGTCAATATTCTGTAGGAATAGACATCCACCGAGAAGTTTTCATGAAAAAGGTTTCATAGCGTTGGGGCAGGTTACTTATACAGAATTAATATAAGTGGAATAATGACATTTATGTGTATCAACTGCTACTATTTTATAAAAATTTTTAAACTGTTTTAACTTTGTTTAGTATAATTCATAACTTATTATAAATAATAGCGGGGAACTAAACATCTGTATTTTTATTCAAATATTCTAAAGATCTGTTGTTTCATGATGTGCCAGAAATAAATTTCAGAAAATTTGTTCCTTATAACAAAAATTCTATGCATCAGTTACTCTATGGTACAATATCACTTTCCTTAAACGAAAACGTTATAACAAATATTTAAAATTAACAGTAACCACAGGACTGAACAGAAGTAAACAGTTACTCATAAAATGAAACACGAAAAAAAGAATAACTCTTCGATTCTCGGCATCCATGAATTACACTTCAAAACAGTTAAAAAAGTGAGTTTGTGGCACACCTTAATCATCTCCATCATGGGCGTTGCCAGGAACTTGCCCGCGATGGGGATAAACCTTTTTCCACAGATTCGTATAGTTAATAAAAAAATATTTTTATTTTTTGAATATTTCTAGGGATTAGAGGAGAGAGATCCTGTCCTCCTTTAACTTCACCCATAATCTCTGTTTATTTTCAAATGTCGCATATGTTTTAGAGGTTGGTTTTTAGAAACCTAAATTAAATTTCAATAGTAGCTAATTTTTTTTAGTCACTAGTGAAATAAAATAATTATAGTTTAAAAATTTAAATAAATAAATCTAATCTTCTATTAATTGATTAAACAAGCAGTAGAAGCCCTTGCTAGCCCTTGAAGAAAATCTTCAATGTATTCTTCAACTACTTTGTTGGTTTTCTGTCCTCTAAAGCACTTCGAAGTAGTGACGTCTACTTCCGAGTTTGTTTGTACCGCATTATCTGTATTCCAAATTTTGAATAACGAGTATTCCTTGTCGTATATTTCTTTAAATTTTGGCCGAAATAATCCCAAAAATGCAGCTTCTGCTTCTAGATGAATACGGCATGGTATTATTAAATTAAAGTTTCGCAAATATGTCGATTTTCAATATTAAAATTCGCATCAAATTATTACTTTTTAAAATAATTTTTCTGACAATATATTTTATTACAATTCCGGCCCCTTTTCATAAGAAAGTTTCTTAGTTCACAATAAAATCGCAGACATTAACCATGTGCTGATTTTTTTTCAGAGCTAATATTTTCCCTTCAATAAACAGTAAAAAATGGGATACCCTGAAAAGTTAGAAGTCCTATGATTATTTACCTTTATACTAGAAGAAGAGATGAAAACTCTTGTAATAGCTAAAACGTTGTTAAAGAAAACTTACTTAAACAATCAACGGTAACGTTTTTGTAGATTGTAGGAAATTGATAAAAATGGTATAAAACGGACTTTAAATTTATGGGCCTAATTGCTGTACCTCATAATTTTCTCTTTTTATGTTGGATGCACTTATACACGGCAGACGAGTATTACTTATCTGTTAAATAAACGGCAAGCGGAAATCGCGTGCAATAGCAAAATGCAGCAGGGTTGCAATCTTAACATATCTGAGAGAAATTTATCAAGTTTAGTTCTGTATTCCAGATGTCTTGAATATTTATGTTACGATAAATTAGCCACTCGGTATACAACGCAATAATATATCACGCGCTAGGAGTAATTATGGACAATTTAGCATGCAAAATTTGTAAAAATGAACTACGCACGATACAACCAAACAGTTGATTAAAAAATCGAATCTTACACAAAGTTTATTTTCTGATATTACTGGTTTAGTTTATTATTGGTAAACATAATACATATAAACAAATTCGGTAAAAAAAAATATACAGGGTTTTTCTAAAATATGCCGCCAACTTTTAATAGGTGATAGGAAAGTCATTTTAAACTAAAAGCTTCATATGAGTAGTTATAGGTACGAAAAGGCTTAATAAAAATGTTACAAGTTAATAAAGAGGCACTATTAATTATAATAATCTTATGGACGAACAACTTCTTCTTCATACGTAGTGATACAAATGGTTAAATAACATTTTTTTCTGAAAGATTATCTTAAAGACACAGAATTGGTTCTTTTGTTCGATATCCACGTAATGTCACCTCCTGTCTATATAAAAATAATGTCAAATTTTCCAGATTAGCAATATTAGATATGTCATTTACGAAAGTAATGAACAACAAGGGTACAAGTACCGAACCTTGAGGCATCTCTGTTATTCTAAACTTAATTTATCTGACTTTTGTCTAGTTTAATTATCTAAAGGAAGAATTTATCAAGAACCGGAAGCTTACAAATATTTTGATTGTGTTAGCCTCACTGACATTAACGAAATAAGTTTCAGCTTATTTCCAAGTACTATTTTGCCTACATCTAGTGCATCAGGTATTCCGTCTTTCTACCCATATCTACTACCTACTCTTATATTTGTATTAGAGAATTGGTATTTTCTATAAGGTGCTTGAGCAGTCATTTGAAAATAAGGGTGTAGTCAGGAAGACAAGTCGTCGCTATCAACACAGATCTCTAATTACATCCTTCTAGGCTTCCTTTTTATTTCTCATACAATTTCCCAACGTATCCACCCATGTTTATACGATAAGTAAACAAAAAGTGATATTTGTTTTACAGGCGTGTCTAGCTCACCATAAATTTTATCTCTCCAAACAAACACTAGAAACAGGTTCAATGATAGAAGGAATCAATCCAAATTTCAAGAAATGAGAGCCAATATATTTTTTTAAATAATGACAGTTTCATATGTTGACTAGAGCGGATCTTTTTTACTAACCTGCAAAAATATTTTATTGTACTTATTATTAGTAACAACGTTGTGACAAATTCAGAATTTTTCATTCGTTACAATAAACAAGAATATCCAACTTTTTACCCTACATATTTTAACACTATTCAAATTTTTAAAATCTTATCACCTGATATGAAGCAATATTTTTTGATACCAGAAATCTAGATATGCAAAATATATCTAATTTCTGTATATCTAAAAATAACATTTTCAAATGATTGGGTCAAAAACGTCAACAGATCAAAAATAATTGTTTTTGTTCTACTTATCATGTTCAATACTTTTGACACTGTTGTCTCAAAATGTCTACCTGATGAAACAATCCTAAAGAATATGTGGAAACAAGGAGACCTATTTGTGGCAGCAAGAAAGCAAAATGTTTCTTTGAATAATTACATATTAACATTTTCAATGTATCAGGTATCTGACACTTTAATAAACAGAATATTCCTATTTAAAAAATAACCCTCGGACATTGGTAAATCCTCATACCTAATTTAATTACAAATTCTTCAAACGCGTTTTTTGTATATCATTTGACGCGAGAGAATTTTTTTTGCATGTAGATATGAACTATTTCCCATCAAAATGTCCATTGACCTTTTCCTTTAAATATATAATTAGCGACGAGTAAAAGCCCAAAATCCATGACGGTGAGGAAAGAACTCCCTCAAAATTGCTTTGCTGAAGTTATGGTTAATGTGCTTTCGAAAACTGTGAACTGTAAATTATCTCATCCATTCATTGCTCTTAGGTTATTTTTGCTAAAAACTATACTGTGTCAAATTTGGTGTTTTTGTCTTCAACTGGTCTTCAATGCCTAACCAGTTGAATCAATTTATGACTGCGTGAGTCAAAGGATGACGTTTAATATTTGTATCTCCCCAAAACTAATGTTTAAATATTTCAATATATCAAAAGAACTTGGAAGACAGTACGACAGTTCTAGGTATCTACAAAATAACAGTACATTTTTTTCTTGAAAATTAATAAAAATATCTACACCTACATGTTTTTCTTTCTCCATGAACCAATGTTAAAAATATTTAATCATTTTTTCTACGACCGTTCAAGTCATGTTTCAAGATATCTCGAACCATCTTTCACAGTTGAGGTAAATAGACACAAACGCGTTTTCCAGTGTTACATTTCTGGAGGAATCCCTAAAAATATTCCCTTTGTTTCAGTCACCACATTCCAGTTAGATTGGAGGCGTCCCCCAAAGCGCAGCCAGAACGACTTCAATACGTCAGCTGGTTGGGCGATACGACGTCATTGGTAATAGTTTTTAATAACGACATCTACCACAGAAGCTCCCCTACAGACGAAACAGACACAAGGCTGACATTCACTGGAAAACCTGACATCGTCTACAACGGAATACCGGACTGGCTGTATGAAGGTAATCCTGCAAATTCAGAGTAACATTAGATGTACTAAATTTAATAGATATATATACAAAGTAAGTCTTAAGCTATGTTCTAAGCATAACTAAAATAATAAGACTAATATACGTTTATTTAAAAAAAAAAGGGAATTCAGAATATGAAGGAATCATTAAGGACTCTCCGTTCCAAAACGAAGAGGGTATTTTGATATAATTTTAAACCTAAAGTTAGAATATCTTAGTTTTTGTGTTTTTGGTATAAAATGAAACTTACTTTCCATTTTTTTTTTTTTTGAAAATGTAAGGCATGTTTTATTCAAATTGACTAAATAATAATTATTGATGACATTGCCAAACTGTATTATTTATTTTATTATCATAAAAATTGATAATCTAATATAATGTACTAGTAGCTGGCCACTTAGCAATAAGCTATATATTTCACAGAATATTACATACATATAAACAATTCTAAATTGAAGTTCATTTAATTTAGCTAACAATCAAGTATAAAATTGTTCACAAAATTTGCTAAAAATGACTGTCATTCTGTTTAATGCAGGCTTGTTTCTTTCTGCGCATTTTAAATTCAGCACTTGCGAATATCTGAGGGAAGTTTCTTATGTTATTTGCGAAATTTTATAATTCTTTGCATAAGCTCTTGCGCGTTAGCCACTGGTTGAGCCTGTAAAATAATTTTAAAGTATTCACAAATAAAAAAGTCAATGTGGTTCAAGTCCTGTGATTTTGGAGGCCATTGATCAGAGGTATCGTAGTGTCTGCCCGTCCAGTGACTCATGTTCATTCAGCTATCTCCTCACTCCTAGAGTAACATGATAAGATACCACGTGCAAAACTAGTGACAATTCATCTAGCACCTCATGTAATTGAATTTCCAAAAAATTTAAATTTGTCGCCGTGGTAAAACAACAAATAAATACATATCTATTAAGGCCATACAAATATTCATACCAAAGTTATGTCGAAGTTGAGTGCATATTCTGCGGATATTCTTATGACCATAACAGTTTTTTATAAACAAAGCTTCATCAGTTTATACAGAGTGTTCTCACAGTTGAGTCATTTATTTTAACTACTGGTAGAAATCGTAAAAAAGCCGATTTACCAAAAATCGTTTATATATAAGTTGCAGAAAAAGAAAAAAGAGAACAGGAAAAATCCTGTTCAACAAAAATTGTTCAAAATTGTTACCATTTATTTACCATTTGTTTTTACAATGCAGTGGTCGAAAATAGTAACACATACAATCAGGTTTTTAAATTTAATTTTCTGTTAATAATTATTAATAATTGGCAACTTTTATACAGGGTGTTAGTAACTAAGTGAGACAAATTTCAGGGGGTGATTCTACTTGAGAAAATAATGGCAGTTTGCTTATAAACGTATGTCCGCAAATGATTTGTTTTCCGAGATACGGGGTGTCAAAGTTTTTCTTAAAAACTGACGATTTAATTTATTGCTCTGAAACCGGTCGAGATGTGCAATTGAAATTTGGTGGGTTTAGAGGTAGTTATTGCGCATTTTTTAATAAGCAATTAAGAATTTTATGTTCATCATTGGCGCGCGTACGGATAATAATCTCAATTTTTTTACAGAAAAAAATGGTACGCCACTGAGATATTACAAATTAAAAATCATTTTTGAATTCCTCGTTCAATTTGTGACAAAAAATCTCTCTCGCCTTTTCTTCGTATGGGGCGCCGTTTTGATGCAAAAAAAATAAAC